ATTAAAAAAATAATTCTTCAAAGCATAAAACTTTGCTCCTTAATAATTAGTAGATGTGAAAAACATTACCATTGAAATCTACCTGATGACTTTATATCCATGATCAGATGCCAAGGAGCTCAGAAAGTAACCGACTGTGACTAGTAATAATCAGATATATAGAGATTAGAAACGCATGTGCAAACATTTTAGTGTTAATTGCATTAAAAATGAATTTTTCTGTATGAAACTGTGTATTTTAATAAGGAAACTGAGATCTCTTTTAAAGGTTACAACCTCATTTAATTTTATACCTTATAGGGTTTATACCGAGTACAATATTGTATAACTGCATTAATTCAACTGTAAACCTAAAAATTTATAGCCAGTTTTAAAAGAGATGCATCTTAGCTCTGGAAATTGTTATTGAACATGTCAATGCTGTTGTAATGAAATGCTTCTTCTAATTATGTGGTTATTAAATAAATAATTAAAAAAAAACCCAAAAATAGTACCATAACTATCATGGATCCACCACTGATGGAAATGATTCTTCCATACTTATTTAGCTATGGCAGGAAACCAGTTAGTTCTTTATTAACACAACACAAATGTTTACAAATAAGTAATGCTGAAAATAAAGTGGGGAACAGGCAGGGTGAAGCATGGTATCCTTTTGTCAATATCAATGGAAGCCAATCTGAGATGTTTATTAGTTTTTATGCTTTCTGTAGTAATTTTATTTGTTCTAATTTCTCAATACCATTATTATTTTTTTTTTTTAGTTGTGAAAAATGATTGGGGGTTAGGAGCTATTTTAGTAAAGTGATTGCCTTGCAAGCATAAGGACTTCAGTTCAACCCCCAGAACCCACATGAAAAGTTGGACATGGTGGGGTACACTTGTAATCTCAGTGTTGGGGAGGTGGAAATAAGACAGATCCTGGGGCTTGCTGGTCAGTCAGTCTAACATATTTGGAGAGTTGCAGGCCAGTGAATGACTCTGTCTCCAAAAGAAAAGGTGAACAGTGCCTGAGGAGAAAGACCTGAAGCTATCTTCTGGCCTACACATGTAAACATGTATACACACACACACACACACAAACAAAAATTGAGGATAAAGAAATGGAGACTTTTCTGACTTCAAGCCAGGGAACAGCTGAAAAGAGACATAAAATACTGGAGAGTGTTTGGTCAGCTGCTGGGTCAAAGTTAAATAGGCAACTCCCAAATGAAACCTACAGGACTTGGAGCTATAGCAAAATGTTTAAGCTAGGAAGTTTACAGTGTTTGCCCAGGATCAAAACTAAATAAACAAAAGGTGGGGAAGAGTTTAAAGGAGGGGCTTACTCTGTAGCCCAGGCTGACCCTGAACTCATACTCCTCCTGCTTCAGTCTCCAGAATGCTGGGATTACAGTTGGTGGGGAGAGTCACCACTCCTGGGCTCAATTTTTTTTTTGAAAGATGTATTTATTTTACATATATGTATGTGTGCCTGAGTATATGTATGTGTATCATATGTGTGCAGGTATCCACAGAGGTCAGAAGAGGGTGTTGGATTACCTGGAATTAGAGGTATAAGCAGTTGGAAGCCACTTGATATGGGGGTGCTAAGAAATGAACTCAGGTTCTTTGCAAGAACAGCCTCTTAATGGCTGATCTCTAAAGTCCCAAAGGCTCATTTTTTTTTTTTTAAATGACTTGTGGTACAACTGAACCAAAAACACCTAGAATTCTGTGGAAATGCAAATTACAAGGTTCCATCTTTAGAATCTGAGTTCTTAAATCTAGTACAAAGCCCATAAACCTGAACAATCTCACATTTGGGAACCATCATTTTGTACACTGACCCAAAGAGGATCATTTTAGAAACAGATGTGGGAAGGGCAGCAAGTAAAACTTTTAAAGTCATCAAGAGTTTAAAGTAGAACCAAATATGACTTTTATTATGGAGACAGCTAAATAAACAGTCACTTAAGAGAAATGAACAGGACTTTCTGTTACATAGTACATAATGATATATATTACCACATAAATAAATTTCAGGTTTTCTCTTTTGGGACAGGGTCTCCCTGTAGCCCCAGATAGCCTGGTAGACCATACTGGCTTTGATCTCACAGAGCTACATCTGCCTCTGCCTTCTGAGTGCTGGGATTAAGGACACTGCCACCAAGCCCAGTACATTTTAGTTTTGATGTGCATTTCACTAATGATGTCAAATACCTTTCTATTTACTTATTGTCAAATACATTTTTTACAAAAGCAGATGTCTGTTCAAATTTGCTCCTTTTTAAAAATTGGGATGGTAGTCTTATTGAGTTATAATTAGATACATATTCTCAGACACAGGTACTGAGAGCATTTTCTTCTTGGCTTTGTATTAATGATATCTTGAAGAGCAAAAGTTTTTAATTTTGATGAAGTCTAATTTATTATTTTTCTTTTATCGTGTGTGTTCTTGGTATCTTAAAATTTTTCCCAGGTTGCAAATAATTCTATGAAAAGATTGATATTTTATTCCAAATGTTTTATACTTTCAGCTTTTATATATAAGCCTACTACTATTTATTTTAAGTGAATTTTGTATAGTATACAGTATGAGTTAGGGCCAAAGTTCACCTTTGTTTCTATATAAATATCCAGTAGGTCTAATGCAATTTGTGTCACTGAACGACTTTTGCATATTTTGTCAAAAAATAAATAAACTGTATCTTCAAAAGAACTGGTTTAAAAAACATCCTTCAGTTTGGTTATTTTTTCCAAACTTGTCTGGCTGATTGGTGCTTAATACTGCTATATACATTTGACTGCAAGCTTGTCAATATCTACAAAATCAGGATTTTTAGCTAGAACTGCACTTAATCTAAAATCCATTTAGGGAGAATGAACACCTCTTCCTAATCTATGAACACAGACAAAATATCAGCAATTTCATTATTTTTTATTTATTTATTTAATTTTATGTGTATGAATGTTTTGCTGGCATGTATGTAAGTACACTCATGTTGTGCAACACCTGTGGAAGCCAGAAGAGGGTGTCAGATTCCCTGGAACTTGAGTTACAGACAGGGTGTTTAACCATTATGTGGATACTGGGAATCAAACCTAGATCCTTTGGAAGAACAGCTGGTGCTCCTAACCAATGAGCCATCTCTCTAGCCCCTTAAATACTTTTTTTTTGTCTTTTGAGGCAGGGTCTCCCTGCAGCCCCAGCTGGCCTGGAACTCACAGAGATCTGCCTGCTTCTGCCTCCTGAGTGCTGGGATTAAAGGTGTATGCCACCACGCCTGGCTTAAATATTTATTGAGCATGCCTCCTATTGCTAGGTTCCAGCCTAAGCTCTGACATTACACTATAGATGTCTTCTATTAACTACATTCAGAGGTATGATATACTTTCCAATGTATAGCTATCAACAGTTTTTGTTACATTCATCTCAGGTGTACATTCTTGACATTACTGTAAATGGTATTTTTCTGTAAACTTTTTGTACTTTTTATAAAGAAACTAAAGATCTGATCATTGTTCATATCTCCTTTAATCCTAATAAATTCATTTATCAGTTCTTATGTTTGGCAGTTAAGATATTAGCAGGCTTGGAGGCCATTAAAAGATGGATCCTTCCCTCAAAATCAGAGATCAGAGGGCTGGAGAGATGGCTTAGCAGTTAACAGCACCACTGCTCTTACAGAAGACCCAGATTCAGTTCCCAGCACCCACATGGTGGCTAACAACCACCTCTAACGTCAGTTTCAGGGGATTCAATGCCCTCTTCTGACCTCCTTGGGCTGTGCACAATATGGGTGCATTTACATCCATGTAGGCAATACACTCATACACATAAAATAAAAATAATAAACATTTTTTAAAAAAATCAGAGATCAGCTCAAAAAGATCAAAAAAAAAAAAATCAGAGATCAGCTTATAAAACTAGGAACTAAACTAGAGAACTCTGATTGCTTGTAAGAATGGGATCTGAGGTGCATCTCTGACGCTGGGTGGAGACATGACATTCTAAGCTACCTAGAAGATCATAAGATGACTATTTAGTCCGTGGCTTTTTGATAAAGAATGAAGACATGTCCCCTTACTTAACAGTTAATCCACTGAACCTGTGAATCACTTGTACAAGAAAACCCTCTTAGAAAGCTGTCCCAGAAATTTTAAAAATCAAAAACAGTCTAAAACCTACCTAAAAATGTAAGTTGACACAATGATCTTTCTGCCCACTGTTCACTTTCACCACCATGAAACAGTCCCTTTGGTCGCTGTCTACTTTCATTCCTTGAGAGTGCCCCACTTTATTCTATAATAAGATGTCGCCTATACTACACTCGTTGGCTTTGTATGTCTTATCTGGATTCTTTCTATGGAGGTTATAAGGACCAGGGAGCTGAGGGGAGGATGGGGTAACATGCACAGCTTTGGGGGTTTACAACCCTTAGAATTTTCCCTGTATAAAGTTTGGCTGTTTATCGACAAATCTTTTTCTTTCTCTTTTCCAATATGGCATCTTATTTCTGATTCTTGCCTTAATATTGACAAGTCCATGCAGCATGATACTGAATGGAAGTGATGAAAGTGGACATCCTTGCCATGTCCCAGTCTTAGAAAGGGCCCATTCCATCCTTACCATCCAGGCACCATGTTGGCTGTCATTTTTCCACACATGGTTTTTATGAGGCCAGAGAAACTTTTTTCATGCCTAATTTGCTTAGCATGTGAAGATATGACTAGATAGTAAAATTTTTCACATGATTTTTTTCTATTCAAATAGTTTAAAATGTAGAATTTTTCCCTTATTTTGTAAAAAGAGAAAAGCATACTGATTGACTTTCAAATATCAATCTTGTTACATTCCTGGGATAAACCTGTTTGACGTTCTACATCTAGATAAAATTTGCTGATTTTTGTTAAGGTTTCTGGATATGTGTTCACATAAATGATAAGAGTTTTTAGTTTTCTTGTTAGGTTTATAATGGTCACCTCCTAAAATGTGTTGGGAAGGACACATTCCTTACCTTTTCTGTTGATATGAACTGAGTCCAAGAGTTGTCTCGGTCTGTAAAAGGAAAGAAATAATGATGAAAATGCCACACCAAAATTTTATCCTGTAGATATAAGAAATATCAAAATAATTTTATTGTATCTTCAGATTTTATCTATTCCCACGTGGGATTTTCAGGTTAAACCTGATTCTCCAAATCACATAAAATAACTGGTCACGTAACATAATTCTAATGAAAGAACAATTTGGTTCAATTTTAAGCATATATGGAAATAACACAAAATAACGTTATTAATTTCCGTAAGTCTTCCAAACAATACAAATCCTATGAACAAGGTCCCCTTTACAATCACTTCATGTGAGGGCATGTGTGCCCCCTACCAGCTTAGTTCTTATCAACTGCAGGTAAGCTGCTGGTATCTAATGGCTCCTGCCATCACGGGGCTCAAGGTACAGTGTAGATGGGAGGGGAAACCATTAAGTACTAAATTAATGTTTGTACTTTGAGAAATGGTTAAAGAAACATTGGAAAGGTGCTGTGAAAGGGAATGAACAAGCAATTTTACCTGAGGAAAGTGTGTCTGAAGAGCAACATTTATACTACACTCAGAAACGGGACACAGAAGCTGCAGAGGTGGTAAAGGAAAACAGCATGTGCAAAGTCCCTATAGAGGAAGAGCTTGATGCAGCCAAGAAACAAACAGCAGGTCCATTCAACTGTACTCAAGAAGAGAAAAGCATCAGAAACTAAAATTACAGGGCAAGAGAGGAAGTAGATCATGCTGTACACTGTAACAAAGCCACGGTAAAGTTCAGAACATACTGTACTCTAACTGTAATACAGAAGATCTGATGGAGTGAGGGGCCAACAGACATGGTCTGACTGAAGTGTACAGATACGATTCTGGCTGTAGTAGGAAGGGTGAACTAGAGGCCGAGAATGGCAGCAGGAAGTTGGGAGGTGGCTGCTGCGGCTCAGGTGATGAAGCAATGAAGGACTTTACGATGAAGAGAGTGCCAACACTACAAGGAACATCGCTGACGAACTTGCGCAACAGGCTAGCTGCTATGTTATAATCAGGAATAGAAAAGATGTGGCACTATTTTCCTCCACTAATAATACTGTTTTGAAGTGACATTTTGGCAAATGTAATTTTAAAATGTTCAAATTTTTTAAGGTGTGTGCCAGGTAAAGTGTAAAGATGTCTATAATTTTCTTTAAAGTGTTTTGGTAATATAATTTGT